CACTGCCACCCTTGGCGACGTCCTCAATGGCCTTCTTCAGCGCCTCGTACAGCGAAAAGACCGCCGCCCAGAGGTCAGTCTCGTAGGCGTTGTACTGCGTTGAGGAGTCGTTGAAGGCGGCCACCAGCTCCAGCAGGCGCTCGAACCAGAACTGCAGAGCGGGGAAGCTGATAAAGAAAGAGGAAACAGTGTTAAAAACTGCAAATCTCGTCACAAAACACTTTCTTACCTCTTCTGCAGACTGCCCTCCTGCGGTTTGAGATGGCGGGCGATGAAGAGCGCCAACTCAATGCGCTCCTCCAGGTTGAAGGTGGCGCTGAACTTGCCGGCGCCCAGCTGCTCAAAGACCGCCGAGCAGTTCAGCAGCGACTGCTGCACCGGGCCGCTGCCCATGAAGGAAAGTGTCTCCAGGGTGCGCATCGCCTGCACCGCCTTCAGCAACATCAGGTGGCCGCCTCGGTAGCCTCCTCCTCCTCGACCACCACCAGCGACCACCACCACCACCTTGGAGAGGCTCTTCAGCGTCTTCAGCGACAGGTGGGCCGACTTGAGCTTCGATATGGCGGCGTTCATGTCGGGCGTGTAGAGCTTGAAGCAGAGGAGGCACTTGCCGGACAGCTGCGGCACTCGGTTCACCGTCGACTCGTAGGGCACCGGGCCGGCGCAGGCGGGACAGCTCAGGGCGGTGCCCGCGCGGGCGTCGGCGAAGCAGGCCGGACAGGCGCAGGCGAAGTAGTAGTTGTTCAGGCGCTTCTGGCGCTGCTCGTAGCTCTGCGTGCTGTAGGCGCCGTAGGAGATGGTGATCTCGGAGCCAGCCTTGATGTGCCTACAAAGTGTGAGGGGGAAACAACAATGAACAAAACAGAAAACCAAAGCGGAGAGCACACTTACTGCTTGGCGACAAACTGAATGACGCCCTCGTCGGAGAATTCCCAGCTGGTGTTGGGCACGCAGCTGTGGTTGACCAGCGAGCCGACGAGACACTGCGCCTGCGCCAGGTGCTCCAGCTCGGCGCCGGCGTCTTCCGAAACCCAGGACTGCCAGCCGAAGACGTTGAAGGTGATGCGGCGGATGTCGACCACCAGCATGGCCGCCAGGTCGAGGAAGAAGTCGGCGGCGGGGCGCTCCAGGCGGAAGCGGTAGAGGTGGTCGAAGAGGGCGGCCATCTCCAGGCCGGCCACCGTCTGCCAGACGTTCTCGTTGAAGCTGTGCGCCCCGTCGTGGGCCACCAGCTTGGCGGCCATCGTGTAGGCGCGCCACCTCTCCTCCGCCGACTTCTCCAGGTGCGGCCGGGAGCGCTGGGCCGGCTCAGCGAGGAACTCCTCGATGGAGTAGGCCACCTGGGCGCCCCACTGCTGGGCGTCGTAGGCGCGGATCGGCCCGCCGACGAAGGCCACCATCTGGCTGACGTGCAGCGAGGAGAGGTTGCCGATGGCGAAGATGGCCGACCGGAGGCCGCACTCGTAGCGGTGGCTCGTCTCCAGCGCCAGGTCAGCTGCGAAAGAGAAGGTGAGAATGGCAAACAATCTGATGATCAGCTGATCCTACCGCAAGTCTGATCGCAGAAGACCACCTCGGTGCACTCGGCGCAGGGGTAGAACTTGTGGGCCAGCTTGGTGAAGCAGTAGCTGCAGCGCCGTTTGGCGTGCTCCATCGAGAGCACCGTACTGTAGGGCCGCTCCTCGAGCAGCACCTGGTTGGGGTGAATGTCCGCACTGGCGATGAAGTGACGCCCCACCACCGGCGAGTTCTCGATCCGACAGTGGCCGCTCAGCTGGTAGGCGGCGTACGGCTGCAGCAGCTTACTCTTTGACTGGGAAAGTCCATCAAGGTCGTGGGCGCTGGTGCACACTCGCGTCATCTGGTCGATCTCCTGCTCGAGGNAGCTTACTCTTTGACTGGGAAAGTCCATCAAGGTCGTGGGCGCTGGTGCACACTCGCGTCATCTGGTCGATCTCCTGCTCGAGGACGAGCTGCTTCAGCGAGCCGAGCATCGAGCGCAGCTCCTCGGTGTTGACAACGGAGGAAGTGTTGCCATGTCTTTGTGGTGACGGCTGCTCCTGAAGCAGCAGCTCCTCCAGGCACTGGTGGGCCTGGCCGTAGCGCTTGCAGCTCTTCAGCGCGGCCACCTTTAGCACCACGTACTCGGCCTTGGGTGGCGAGGTGGTGCGCTTCTCCAGCACCTCGATGGCCGTGCTGATGGCGTAGAGGGCCGCCTCGGGCGGGTCGCCCCGTTTGCTGTGCAGCGCCGATTTGCGAGCGTACAGCTTCGCCAGCAGATGTGGCTCCGATTTGGGCGTGTGCAGAATGGCCTACGGATGATGAGAATGAAGGGAAAGAAAGAACACGGAACCGGAGTAGTTTACCTTGTGGTAGTAGAGCAGCGCCTGGTCGAGGCCTCCTCGCCCGCCCTTGCCCTCATCCTCGGCCAGCTTCGCCAGGAGGTCGGCCTCCTTTTTGAACTGCCGGGCACGGGTCAGGCTCTTGCCGTTCTTCGCCTTGGCGCCCTCAATGTCCTTCTTCAGCAGCTCATGAAGGCTCTCCAATGGAATGTACTTGGTCACGGCGTACTCCAGCCGGGCGCGATTGCTGCTCAACGAGGCAAAGTGCTTGTCATACCAAAGTGAGTTGATCAGCTCATCGCGACTGGTAACAGCGGCTGGAGACATAGCTGCTCTCTTTTCAAGCTAATCTAAACACTTCACTTCAACTTCAACTGAATTCAACTGCATCCTTTACAGCGCTTTAAATAGCTCCCACTCTTTCCAACAAACAAAGGTTCGAGCAAACCATTTGGAATTTGGAACTCATTCTTGTAAGTTCCAAAATGCCGTACAGCACCGGTTGCACAACAGCGTACGTCGTATACGGGCAGGCAACCGAGCAGCCGTTTTTGCGCCAAAACGTGGAGAGCGTGCGCAGAGGCAGGTGCGGCGCCAAGAGAATAAAAGAGCGCTGTGCTTCTTTGTCGCTCGTCAGTTGGTTTCGTCGCTTTGTCCAGTTCACATCTCGCCTGATCTTCGCTAACCTCCATCTCGCTCACCTCATCCACTCCATCCATCCATCTCGAATTCGTCGTTAACGACCCAGTCCATCCATCAACCGAAAATGGTTATCGCAGTCAAAACATCCGGCGACACCAAGGATGACTCGATCAAGGCAGCCGCTCTGGTTGGCAAGAAGGCCGCGACCAAGGACAAGCCGGCGAAGAAGATCTCGAAGGTCTCGAAGAGTGGCGAGAAGAAGAAGCGCAAGAAGGCCAAGCAGTCCTATGCCATCTACCTTCACCGCGTGCTGAAGCAGGTCCACCCGGACACTGGGATCTCGACGAAGGCCATGTCGATCATGAACTCCTTTGTGAATGATCTTTTCGAACGCATCGCCTCTGAGGCCAGCCGCCTGAACAGCTTCAACGCCAAGCACACTATGTCAAGTCGCGATATTCAGACCGCCGTCCGTCTGCTGCTGCCGGGCGAGCTGGCCAAGCACGCCGTTTCGGAGGGCACCAAGGCGGTGACCAAGTACACCTCCAGCAAGTAGGTGGTGAAGGAGAAGACGCGCGCCGCCACTCTTGGCTGGCCACCACCACCAACTTTGCCTATCCTATCTCCTACTCCCTCAACCCTTGTATAACATTTGAACATATTACTCATTGATAAATCATTTGTTTCACTTTATTTTAATCCTCAATAAAAATCCTCCATATAACTTAGAGCTTGAATAAATCATTCAGCGAAGGCGAAAGGCGCAACGAAGGTCGAGGCAGTTGCAGTAGACGGGCTGGCGGTCCAGCTCTCGGTTGATCTGCCAGTTGTAGTCCCAGGTCAGCTCCTCCATGGGCGCCACGTCGCTGCAGAAAGAGAAAAGGAGAGATTTGGGACACCTTTGTTATCCTCTAGTGATGCACTTACACTGAAGTGAAGTAGGCGAGGTGGGAGAAGCGCAGATCGTGCGTCTCCAAGAAGACATTCTGAATGAACATGTTCGGCGCGCAGGAGTGGTTGAAGAAGCGGCCCACATTGGTGTACCGGGAGCCGTCGACCACGTGCGGACGCGCCTGCCCGAACATGGCGCTGCGGCTCACTGTGTGGGTTTGGGAGCAGAACAACAAAACAAGGAAAGATGAGAACAAAACTTTTGCAACCACAAGACAAGCTTACGATTTTGCTTCACCTCCTCCGGGTCGACGCGGCTTCCACCGCCTCTTCTGGCGCTGTCGCCGGCACTCTCCACGGCCACCTCGATGTGGTCCAGCGCCGCCAGGTAGTAGTCCTTCGCCACCAGGTTCGCCTGGTCGTCGGTGAGAATCTGGCCGTGGTAGACGCAGACGAAGCTGCCCCGAGGTATGAAGTGCAGCGCCCGGACGCCCCAGCCCTTGCGCCGCGTGGCGAAGGCCTGCAGCTGCGCCCGGACGCCGTTGCCCACGACGCGGTTCAGGCAGCGCGGGCCACAGCGGCAGCCGGCGTTGCACTCGAAGACGCCAAAGTCGTGCTTCGTCATCAGCCGCTTGTAGCTGTAGCCGGACTGAAAGTGCCATTTAGAAAGCGGTTTAAAGATGATCATCAGCTTACCATTCCGCAGTTGTCCGTCCTGGTGAGCATCCGACAGGCGCAGGCCTCCGCCTCGCCGCAGTCGCCGCCCTCGGGGCAGCTGCAGCTGACGCGAAAGTCCTCCAGGTGGACGCCGCCGGGCGACTGGTTGAAGAAGCGCCTCGCGGCCACGTACTGAAAGTCGAACTGGAAGCTGCGTTCGTCCACCTGGTTGATCGCCGACACGGGCCGCTCCTCGCGGCCGCAGCTCACGTCCGGACAGTAGGTGTGCGCATTGCCCACCGTCTGCCGCTTCAGGTGGAAGCCCTCGGCGAAGGTGAAGTGGTCCAGGTCCAGCTCGAGGTCACCCTGACGATCACCTTCACTACCTGGCCCCGCTCTGGGCTGCTGCACCGCGGCCAGGTAGCGGCGAACGTGCTCCATGCAGTAGAGGACCTTTCCGCAGGGCGTCACATACGCCAGCTTGACGCCCTGGTCGCTGTACTGCAGCTCGGCAAAGGCCTCCTCCTGGTCGTCGGGCCGTCGACGGCGTGGATCCTGCTTCAGTGCCACCCGGTGGAAGCCATACTTCAGGGGAAGCAGCAGTGGATTGCCTTGATCCTTTCCTCCCAACTCTTGACCAGAAGAAGGAGGCTGTTGTTGTTGTCGTCGTCGTAGAGCACAAGTCTGCGGACTGCAGACGTGCTTCACGCCCGGCTTGAAGAGTGTCTCGCTCTGTATCAGCCGCTTGATTGGATTCTCCCCCAGCTTCACCTGATCGCCGATTTCGATGTCGGGCACAAACTGTGACGGGTAGAACATGATGGAAAGAAAAACCTTTGGTGCTGTCAAATCTGATAACTTCTAGAAGAGCGGAAAAGACGGCTGCTGATCAGTACGCTTTCTTTGAACGGCTTATTGTTTTGATTACCATTTTTTTGTTTGTTTCGCGCCCAAACCAGATTTAGAACAGTTTTGCGGTATATTAGCCACAGCAAAGCTAACACTTCAACAGAAAGTATGCATTTGAAAGCTACCACCACCATCACCTCCACCTCAACTACCACCAAAACGATGTCCATCCCATGCCTAGCCTTCCTCCTTCTGATGCCCTTTCAACTGCTGCCAGCGGAGGCCAAGTTCTCCCTAAAGAAGTGGACGATCTTCAGTCCTTCAAAGTCGGACGCCGAGCCGGAGCTCAGTCTGCCGGAACGATTGGCGCTGGGCACCTCCAGGCTGGCGGACGGCACCTCCAAGTTTGTGCAGAGCTCGATCTTTCTGCTCTCTGGCCTGGTGACGGGCGTCTACCTAATTCGGCACCTTTTTATGACCTCAAAGGAGGCGGCCATCGAGGAGGGCCTGGTGGAGAGGATGCTCAAGGCGGAGGGGGAGGCGGCGGCGTCGGTGCAGAGGCTGCTCGCCATGCAGCACACCGCCCCTCCAACACATCACAGTCGATTGGTTCGCTTCGTCGGTCAGAACTACTACACCATTCTGGTGCTCTTCGCATTTCTCAACGTCTGCCTTGTTCTGTGTTTGTGTCACCTCAAGTTTAGAAAGCCTGAAGAGAAGGGAATCAAACGAAGTAAGAGAAAGCGAATTCGACGCTAGCCTATTCTTCTGAAATCAAGTAAGTTAAAAGTACCTTTTTTGCTTTTTTGGCTTTGACAATAGATTGCTTGCTATTTGTGAATTATCATGAATTAAAAACAATTTTATTAACAAATGTAGAAAGTAAAAAGGTTACTTGCAAGAAAAATATCATGGTTAAAGATACAGAGATGCAGTGTCGTGTAGAGTTTAGCGAATAGTACAAAGTTTACAAAATGGCAATTATTGTAAGTATTAAAACAGTGATTAGTAAACAAGCTATAACGATATGCTGATCAAAATAATAAGTTAAAGAATACGACCAATTGTGGCAAAAATCAATGTCAGAGTTGAATTGAGTCCCTTGGATGTAGTAGCCGAGTCGAGTTTCAATTAAGTTTAGGTTTGATGCTAAAGAAATGCACCGATTGGGAAATGTTGGTGATGAGTACAACAATGAAGGTATCAAATCAGTGCCAATTAGTAGCTTTTCAGTGTCTTTTTCAGGAACATCAAACATCGGAATGTTCAAGACATTGGCTATCCTGGAGAACAATGAATGAACTTTTTTGTTTTGGTTTTCACCAAATAAAATCGAAGTTAACTCCAGCTTAATTTTCGTAAATGGATTGCCATTTGGTTTGCCTATTTCAATGTTTACAAACATGCTTATTTCATTCGCATATATTATAACTTTAGATGGGTAAACATTGAGCTCTTTGGCTAGCGTGTAGTTTATATAAGAACTTTCAGCGCCAGTATCAATACCAGCCCACACTGTTTTCGTGCAGGTGTCACTTTTAACTGTCACAGCAAGTTGAGAAGGTATGCAGTACGGCATCAAGTTGGAACAAATTGAAGAGCTGCCGTTAAGCCTTTGACTGAAAAGACGAGAGATGGTTTGTTTGTAAAAACTTGCGGCATCAAAGACTGCTATAGAAGTAAATGAAAGATAGTGTGTGTATACGAAATTAAAGAAAGTCAAACGATGCAAAAAAGTTACAAAAAAAGGCACTTGAAAACAATAGCAAGGAAGCACAAAAGCAATGAGAAACAAAATATACAAACGAATGTGAACTTATAACAAAGGGCATCTAAAGAAAGCAAATAAATAATTGTTAGAGTTAGAAAAATAATTGTGATTTAGAGGCTTACAGGCATATTCTCTCCAGCTTCTTTTAACTCCAGAGAGGTCAAAAGTCAAAATGTTGTTAATCTCTTCCTTTTGAGTTGCTAGAATATCGAATTCATTAGTGTTATTTGGATACAGTGCTTCCTTCATTTTCTGAACTTCAGCTGTACTTAAAGTCCACTGTTTGAATTTGTCGATATCAAACTGTCCAAGAAAAGCTATTCCCATTTTTGTGCGAATGATGGCCAGTGATGGAGTGATGTGATATGTTGGTTGAATGGGATGTATGTTAAAGTAGGCATTCAGTAGGTCCTGGCCAATGATTATGTCAACGCGATACTGTGAACTGAAAGAACAGAAAGTAAGTTTGGGAACAAATATATTTCAAATCATGTGCTACATACTTTGGTTCATCTTCTGACCACATAGTTCTCCCCAGTTTACCTGATTCAACCATCGGCAGCCCTAAAAAAGCCATCTTTTTCATGACTAAATCGACAGGCAGATACTCAGCAATGTTTGTGCAATATTCGTCCACAAGAATTGAAGTCGTTATGTTCACTGATGTATCTTCAACTGACTGCAGTGTCAGTCCATTTATTTTTCGGTAACCCATTGTGCTCACACTATAAAATGACTTTTTAGTAAAAACAGGCCAAATGTACTCAGGAGTGGCTCCGTTATTAAATAGCAAAGTTGCTAAATCATAGTCGATAAATGAACGATAAGCACCAGTGTCAAACAAAGCTCTGAATGTGACAGTGAAACCAGATGAAGGCACTATAGCTCGAAGAAGTACTGTTGGTCGGGCTGAATATGGTTTCGGTGGTGAAAAAGATGGCGTATATTTCGGTTCTATTTGAGCATCAAGATAAGTGGCAATTTGAGCCATTGTACTGTTGAACTGGTCATGACTGAAACAAAGGAAGTTGAGGAAGCCATAGAACCAGATTGCCCATTGTGATTCAAAAGCAGGTGTGGGTGGGGCAGTAGTTGTTGGTGGTGCAAACACTCTCTGGTACAGTAAGATCAGAGGATTGATGATGAAGCGAACTGAAAAGGCAGTATTCTCTGCCATCGTGGCTGGCTCAAGCTACAGTGAGTAACAGTTGACAGTGTGAGGGGTTGTGGCCACTTTGCGAAGAAACATTAGCGTAAATGAAAATAGCAGTACTGTTTCGACTTTGTTTGTTTCGACCCGCGATTCGCAACCATTTCATCGCAAACCATTTCATCGCAAAAATCTCCCTGTTGTGCATAGTGGCGCTGCCTGTGCACGTATTTGGGGG